AATAACCAAATTTATTTTATTCAATGTGTCAATCAGACAAGTTTATAATCAATAGTAATAATTCCCTAATACATGTGATGATTATTGTACTCCTTGAATAAGAAAATTCAAATAGTGCAAACAATTTTCTCAAAGACCCACATAAGTTGGAAGCCGTGGGTTTTTATCCACATTATCTGCAGTTTCCTTTAAATCAGGTGACGACTCAACTGGGAGCCATTTGGAAGTTGTCAATAACTTGATAACTGTGGTGTTCAACTCTAAAACTGCCACATCTAAACTGTAAATAAAAGAGTTTCCTCTTCGCCACAGCCCTGGCACACCCTTTCACTCCAGGCTGACTAACATTGATGCTATGTAACTGCATGAACCCTTGGGGGTTGTACTTACTGTGGAGAGGGTGATCACCTTGAGCTATTCAGCTCCTGATTATGTGTCTCTACGACCTACATAAACTTATAGCAAGGTATCTAGCCTAAAAGCCAGCCTATTCTGTGCTTTTCCATTCTCCCTCCATGCATAGCTGCCTCATTTACTCAGTCTTTCTTCCTTCCTCCTTTCTTTCCTCCCTCCCTTCCCTCCTCTTTCCTCTCTCTTTCACTTTTCTTTCCTCTGCCTCTTTATTCTTTCTTTCCTTCTTTCTCTTTTTTGATTTTTCATTTTTCATTTATAAAATTCCATGGATTTTAGATAAAGCCTTATAATGAAACTACTACTATTCAAAAATAATACTAGCCGACATTATAGGCCACTATCAGCTCCAGGGATAGGGGCTATAGATAGGAGTTGAAGAGATGGCTTAGCAGTTAAGAGCACTGGCTGCTCTTGCAGAAGACCCACGTCAAACCCTATCACACAGATGGCAGCTAACAACCATGTGTAACTTCAGTTCAGGGGATCCAATGACCCTTTCTGTCCTTCACAGGCACTGCATGACATGGTGTGGTTACATACATGCAGGTATAATACTTATAAACATAAAATAAAATAAAAGTGTAAAGCTGTAGATATTCACTTTAAAGTGTTCAGTAGTTATTTGAGCACCAGAGCTAGAGTTAGAACCCAGGAAATCTGAGCACTGAAATCTTAGTCTAAGCAATTGCATATACAACCTTTCAGGAACTAGCTGATGAGACCTGGGGGAGAAGGATATGAGTTATAAGTAAGGAGTGATTAGTGACCTAGTAACTCAGCAGGTGATTTCCATAACTATCTAAGGGAGAATTTTTCTTTTGCCATTATCTTTAAGAGGAGACTGATAATTGCATATCTGTGTATGGCAAGATTATGGCGAATTAATAATAATCTTATTAGTCTATGAAATGACTGGAATTTCCTACATTAGAACTATAGAAAACTAGAAAGAAAATAATATTTAATTTGTAGATACTGCACATAATGCACTTTCCTAATACGTATCATCTTATTCTACCTGCTGAATATTCATGCTAAGTAGAAAACAGTAACATCAAGCTTTCACCAGTAAAGAAATTGTTCCAGGTTAACCCTTAAGAAATTTATTAAATAATATATAACGAGCAATTCATAACTCATTAATGCATAGCCTGTCATATCTCACAATATGTAACTCTAACCAAAGCTGCCTGACATTGTATATGTACCCTGAAAGAATGAATCAAATTCAAATCCTAGGTTTCCATTTTCTTGTGTTTCTTTTCCTTAAATTGTTATTTTGCTCATCTGTCTTTCAACTTTCGTGAACACTAATGAGAAGTCAAATCAACAATGTGAAAGCCACAAAGGCATCCATGACGTTAGGATACCACTGCTAAACATGAGCATCATTTCAATGTCTATGTGTAGGTATACATTTGCATGCATTTTTGACATTTAAATTGTGAGATCACTTTTGCCTTTAACAGCACTTTGGCAAGTGGATTAAACTGCACTTATATACATGACGGCAGAAAAGGAAGATGAAATGTCTTGTGACCTAAAAGACTAGGAAGATGTCCACTCTTATTTTTTTAAGAGCCACTTAGGATAAATATAGCTTTCTTCTATCTATGCTTACACTACAGGATTTTCACCCTGCAGAAAAAAAATTAGGAGAGCATTCCATAATTCTTTTTTAATGAGTTGAAAGAACTCTACTGGCTCATTAAAGGGAGTATTTTCTTCTTACCCTTCAGGTGACATATTTCTTTTATCTGATGGCTAGAAAGTTTATTATTTGCACCTTAAAATTACCCTGGATACAAAGTACAACCATGTCAAACTAGATAAAAATTCTCTATTATATTTATATTTCCTTACAGCATATATACATATATATTTCTTTTTATATTTTTAATTCATAAACATTTTTGTTGAGCTTTTGTACATTTCATACAAGAGTTCTTAATAAAATTTATCCCCCTCTGCCATCCATGAATATCACTTTCACACACAACTACTTCCCACCACCATACACTCCACTGTTTCATATACCTGATGCCTTTCAGATTCATCTTCTATTTGAGTCTCCATCTTTGGAAGACATTGAGCAGATACCAAAGTCATGAGAGTGGCATCCTTCAGCACAAAATAAAGACAATTTTCATTTCTATAGCATTGTCCTATGAAATGTTGGAGAATCTCTGCTTCATTTAATTACTAAGAATGTTACTTTAAAAATTAATTTCTGTATGTTTGGTATTTATTCTATGTAGAGGGCTGATTAGTGCCCATTTGTGACCCACTCCAAAGGCCTGCATCTAAACATTGGGGACCTGTGAGTGCTACCTGATACAGCAAAAGAGACTTTGAAGATAGGAATAAAGACCTTGAAGAGGATTCCTTTTTATGGACCTGAGGTAGTCATGGTATGTCAATCTTCCTGTTGTTATGTCCAAATAAAGTTAAACACATTGCACTGCCCTGTTCTGAATACTTGTTGTGCTATACTAGGCTGCTTGTGACTCTACATATTCTCCTGGACTTACATGTGTACAAATTATAGTGCTATTTATACATTGATCAGATGGAAATGGAGTGTGTTGACTTTACAGCTGACTTATCTACTCAGTTTGTTCCTGTTATTTTCCTTGAACCTGATCCAAAGTCTAAAGTGAAAGACGAGAAGTAGCAGGCATAGGATAGAGAGAGCTGGAGGGTTCACCATCTCCATGCTTCTGTGTATCCCTTGAAGTTGGTGGCAGTGATATATTGACCACCAAGTGCCTTTTATATCTAGTTACTGCTAGTTTGCCTACCCTGGGGCTGACAAACCTACTGCATGGTATCCTAGAGTTCTGCATAGAACAAATAATTTCCAGAAAATACATACAGCTTCCTATTCTTGACACTTTTCCCCTGAGAGACTTTCTAGATGACAACAAGATGTGTTGAAAGAAGAGGCATTTATTGTCATTTCAGTGAACAAGTACTAAGAGAGGCATTGATGAAACTGTTCAGAGTGTCTTTTGGTTTACGTCAGTGTTCATTTTCTAATTCCAGGTGGGAGGCTATAGAGGCAGCTCTGATTGCTCTTGCAGAGGACTCTGGTTCAGTTCACAGGACCCACATGAAGGCTAACAACTGTAACTCCATTTTGAGAAGACCTGAGACCCTCCTCTGGCCCCATGGGCATTGCACAAGCATGATGTACTCACATACATGTAAATACTAATATACATGAAGTAAAAATAAATAATTAAATTTAAATTAAATAGTGACTGAGAAGCAGCAAATGGCAAAAGGACACCTAATTGACTCAAAAGAGGACGATGTCTTTTAACAAAAGTCCCTACAGTTTATTCTACCTGAAGTCATTATTACTCTTTGCTTAATACATCACTGTTAATACTTTTAATGTATGCGTTGCTCTTTCTCATTCAATGGATGCTGTAAGTCTGCATTAAAGTGTATATTTTCATGAACAAAATGTCACTTCTTTGGTTTAAATTAAAATCTTAAAAATTCCTTTAGCCTTACCCTGAGGAGTGGAACGTACTGTTTAATATGCGTAGTGCCCTTAACCACACAGATTACTCAAAAAATAATTTCAACATATCCATTCCCCTTTGTTATTATGGACCAAAAATAACTTCAATACAGAGATAAACTAAAATCAATGTGCAAAAGAAAACAAATAGAAAACAAGGAAATGTTATTTGGGGAAAATTGTTATATATCTAGCAGGCACGCTGGCTTTGCAGCAGGGACAAAGGGCATATGTTGCATAGTATTAGTCAATTAAGAAAATACAATATTGACAAACTGAATTCCTTTAATATTACACTGTATAGAAACTCTGTAAGAAATGATTTCATAGAGACTTTGGTTGCCTAGCAACCACTGACCCATAGGGACAAGTTCATTTTTAGCCTGGAATAGGTCACCAATTGCCACTTGGATTACTGTGAGCCTTATGTATGGAATTCTCCAAACACATCAGATGACAAGTTGTCACCAAGGTCTGGCCTGGCACAGGTATGTGTGTAACACATATTTTGGGGGAAAAATTGATTCTTTTGATACATCAGGGCTTTCCCTTCCTTTCTGGGCAACAATGTTGAAACAATCAAACCATCTATCTTATGAGAATGTAAGAGCAAATCCTACAGCATTTTCCAGAGTCAAAGAGTAGACAAATACAGGTCCTTGCTTTATTGAATACTTGTTAGCCATTTAATAACCATGTTGCAGAATTCTCTAGAGACATGAACTCCTGTTAACTACTGATTGACACATAGAGTTCACCTATTAACACTAAAATCACTATTAACCAAAGCTATGGTCTACATAAGTTGACTGATGGATGATGGCCAGAGTAGTGATTATAGGTACTTTGAAGAATCAAAATAAACTTATTTTTGTATGAGCCTAAAGACATCATCAACTGTGGCTAAGCAATGCACTAATGAGATGTTGTATGTTATTGTGTCAGAGGGAAGGAAGAGAGTCAGAAGAGGCTCCTGGCACTCCCCAGGGAGGATATAAAGAGTCCTCAGCTGTATAGCCACACCATACCAGCAGCAGCTGCCTCTTGCATATACTTGGGCTCCATGTCTCTTCTGGGCTATCCTGGGCTTTGCAGTGCTACAACCCACAGAAATCACTGCTACTTCCCTGTGACATCTCCCGTTGCACATTGCTCTAGTGATGTAAACTCTACCTTCGGATATTACTTACCCAGCAACTATCAAGGCAATTTGTGGCTCCTGGACCATTGCCAAGATTCCTACTGTGAAGCACCTTGCAGCGAATCTCCCAGCCATGAGCCCAAGACCTGCATTCCAAGTTCTGACTCCCCGAATTCTTCCGTGCTTTGCAGTACCCCATCTGCAGGTCAAGTGGTCAGTGCCTGTGAAAATACCAACATCAGACCCAGAGTGAACTCCAGTCCCTGTACTCGGACCAAGGGGTATGTACCCAATTCCTCCACTATTCAATACGCATCAAAAGCCTGTCAGACTCCTCTCAATGGCTCCCGGTGTGTAGGGCAACTTAACTTCTTTCCCAGGAATCTTCAGTCCCTAAATCACAGTGGTCTGAATAACTTCGGATTTAGAAGCTACCAAAACCTCGGCTTCCTCACCAGAGGGTTCTCACCATCTTGCTATATTACCAGTAGCTACCAACCTCAAAGTTATCTAATGAGAAATTGCCAGTATGCAAATTACGGGTCTTCAAGCTGCCGACCACTGAGCTATTTATACAGAAGCTTTCAGTCTCGGCGCTGTATACCCAGCACCTTTCCACCTCTGAGATACTTATGCAGCAGTAAAAGACCTCTGAATTGCTATTGATTGACTCACAGTATGCCTAGGAATTTGGGATTAGCCAATGGAACACATTCTACTAAATTGTGGAGTCTCTACTATTCTGCTGGATTGCTTTATGCATCTTAAGAATTTTTTTGCACTGGGAACACTTGTTAACACCAGGCTTTATTAAGGACAACTATAACACCTTGTAGATCTTTTCTGTTTTCCTGTTAATGTTCTCTGTTAAAGTAGCAGTAGTCCTAAGAGTGCAAGGGACTCGTTGAAGATTCACCAATGGAATGTCAGCCATTAACAGCTTTCTTACTCTAATTGTCCCTTGCCTGCCTGTTTGATGATCCCCAACCTTGCTTTGATGGAGTGGAACTTTCTTGGTTTGATGTCTGATTTGAACACACAAGTTCTTAGTGATGTTTTTGCTTTGTATCAATAGTTCTGCCAGTTGCCTGACTAGTACCTTGCCAGTGCATAAAGAAATAACATTATTGTAAACATATTGAGTGGAGCTATGTCTTCCTTTCCCTCCTGACTGATTATAAGAATGGGCAAATATCAACACCAACCAGAACTACTGAACAGAAGATTTCAGCAACCTTCTTTCCAAAGAACATGAAGCCTGGGACTGATTGGCATTTGGCTTTTAGTTTCAACATTGGGGAGAAAAACTTAGAAGTGACTGAGCACAAAAATCATGTGTCAAATGAATGGCAAAATGCTGTTGTATATTCTCTATGATTCTTGAAGTGTGTCTGTGTTCTGGAATCTTCTCTGTTGAATTATTTCACTCAAATTCTAGAAAATTTCCTGGTTATTCACTAATAAACACTTTTCTATCTGGAAACAATGGCTCCCTTATGCTTTGTGACATTATCACTAAAGTTTTCTATGCTCTGCGCAGTGCATATAACATTGTCAAATGCTAGGTTTTTTTTAAATGATAGTCTAAATGAAAATTTTGAAGAAGGCTGAATAGGAAGCCCAAGCACTTTGTTTTTGTTTATTTTTGTTCTCTTACTAATGCATTGTTTATTTCTCTCAAAATAATTGTGACAAAATTTGAAATAAGAAATTTTGGGAGAAATATCAATAAAATAATAAATGTATAAATTTCTAAATATAATATTCTTGTTATTTATGTAATATTCGTGTTAATTATAGATAAGGTTTGAGGATTTAAGCAAATTTAACATGAAACCTCTTCTGCACCTGTTATTCTCAGCATCAAAAAAGTTAATGTCTAAAAGTAAAGCTTTCTAACATACACATGAGGCTAGTGTTTTAATAATCAGTCTGTGAATTATTATCTTTCCTGCTGTGTGAAAGAAAGCGTTCAAAAGGAGTGTTGTGCTGGGGTTCTGCTTGAACATGTCTGGCGATCATGAAATTACTCAGTCCTTTGAGTTCATTCAGTTTTCAGAAAATTCTATTATATGTTACAAAAAATATATGTATCCTTAGGGGACCAACCATTGAATGCATAGGACCCTTTAACACAGCACATCTGCTCAGGTATTTGAAAATGCACTCCAGTTGAGTAGAAAAGATACACATCTTTTTCTTTTAACAAACGCATTCTTTGAAATACTAAGTGAGACTCTGGGGATGTCAAGATTTATGGATACTCTTCTCCAAAACTAACTCTTCAGAGGAGTAATACCCTGAAACAAACATAATGCTGTCTCAATTATTTAACAAAAATATAAGACTTCAAAGAGGGAAAGACTTAAAACTGGTGGAAGCACAGAACACTCCTGGGAGAAATGGCCTTGGGATGATGCCTGAATGAAGGGCCCAGGGGCTGAGTGCTCAGCAGTGGATGGGGGAATGTGGAGAGGGAAAACCTTGGGAACAGAGGTATCACTGAGTTGGACTAGAGGAGGAGCAAACATAAAGTCACCAGTGGGGAAAAATGGTGGAGAAAATATATGACAGTCGATTACAGACCAAGGTTAAGGAAGTTTTCTTTTTTAAAATTATTTTTTTAATTTCTTTTTATGTGTATATGTGTATTGCCTGCATGTAGGTAAGTGCACTCATGTCATGCAATGCCTTCGGGGGACAGAAGAGGCTGTCAGATCCTCTGGAACTGGAGTTACGGGCAGCTTGGTGCTGGGATTCGAACCCGGGTCTTCTGCAAGAACAGCCAATGTTCTTAACCGCTGAGCCATCTCTCCAGCTCCAGAAATTTATTTTTATGTGTATATGTGTATTGCCTGCATGTAGGTAAGTGCGCTCATGTCATGCAATGCCTTCGGGGGACAGAAGAGGCTGTCAGATCCTCTGGAACTGGAGTTACGGGCAGCTTGGTGCTGGGATTCGAACCCGGGTCTTCTGCAAGAACAGCCAATGTTCTTAACCGCTGAGCCATCTCTCCAGCTCCAGAAAGTTTTTTTAAATATAAACAAACAAGAAATAAAAGATTTTTAAGTATGGCCCTAGTAAGATTAAAACTGCCTGTTAATGGAAGATATTATTTAAAGTGAAAAATTAAGGGTGAGGGGTTGGAGACATGGCTCAGCAATTAGGAGCACTGGCTGTTCTTGCAGAACACCTGGGTTCAAATTCCAGCACCCACATGGCAGTTAACAACCCTTTGTAATACCAGTTCCAGGGGATCTGACACCCTCTTCTGTGTTCCTTGGGCATTGCACAACACAGGTACATTTACACATATGCAGGCAATACACTCATATACATAAAATAAATAAAGAATAAAATAAAATAAAAAGGGTGATAGAGTGTATGAGAACTCTCTGTATACCATCTAACTTCTATAAACTCTAAGCCTAAAATAAAACTCTATTAATGAAGATAAATAACCAGCAGAAAGTATTGCAAATAAATTCCTGAAGCAGAATTAAGAGAAAATACATACTATATGCTCCACGAAAATACTTTCCAAAACATTTAAGAACTATGAAGTAAAAACAAGAACAAATGTCTTGATGGAAAACAAGAAAATAATATGAACAGATAATTACTACTATACTCAGTAAACTACTTAAATGTGTTCAGTATCATTAGTAGTTATTAAATATAGACACAAGACATTATTGTCAAGATCCATGTGGTAGACATTTTTAGGAGAGCCACATGTCTACTTAGAAGTATTGATTCACAGGCTGCAAAGGGTGTGGTCCTCAGCAGAACCTGTGTGAAGGCGAACATTTCAAAGGTACCAAGGGAGTGACAGAATGACATTGCTTCTTAGACTGTCTCTTAGGGAAACTGTACTATAAAGGAATGAGGTCTGTTTCACTTTGCTATTGAATTTTTATTAATATATCATGAAGGAACAGTTGATTATATAATCTATCCAATTGTAAGGTGGGATTAACTTTTTTTTAATTGAGCTTTTTAAATTGCATACATTTGCCACTCAAATCCAGACCCTCTCCCCCATCCATGACTCCTCCTATACCCCCACCAAACCCTATGTACTCTGCCAGGGCTGGTTCGTGAACACAGGAAAGTGGAGGCTTCCAGGCCACTGGAGGCTTGCTTATGTGAGCCTGTGGCAATGGGGGCATCAATCACGGTTCCCATGCCAGCTCAATTCAACAAGGGCCCAAAGGGGAGGTGAGAAATAGGTGGTGGGCCAGCACTAGATTAAGAACCATCTGAGACTGATTGCTGCTGGGTGAGAGAGAGAGTATGACTTACATACGACCGCTGGATGGACTGACTAGACTCCAGTGGACGCATTTTCACTGAGGCATATTTGGGTACAAAAACCTGAATGAACAGGTCTCAGCATATAAGGCGGGATTAACTTTATACTTCACTACTATTTCCTTTGATTATTAAAAGTTTAATTACATGCATAAAGCATAACAGTTAAGTCTAAACTTTACTTATAGAATCTTTAATTCCTATTTGTAATATTCTCCCAAGGCTGACAGAGTTTCACTTAGGTCTTCACGGTAGTTTTCTCATTACACTGCCTCTCCTCAGTTCTGTTTATTTTGCAGTTATCTGAGATCCAAAATTGCTATATGGAAAATTACAGTAATAAACAAATTAATAAGCTTGAAGATGGGTACCATTTTTATTAATGAGATGGAGTCTTATTCTGTCCCTCTTGGGATGCAAATCATCTCAGAGTCCAATGTACTCATATAGCATAATAGCATTCTTTTTAACCAGTAGCCATCTGAGTTATTAGGCTGACCATTAGAGTACTACAGAGCTTAAGCAACCCTAAAACAAAAAGTTGTGGCATTATTTTGCTACAATACATTTGTTCTGTATCAAGGTTGTTAATTGTTTATGTACCTAGTTTATAAATTTAATTTTAGCATTAATAGATACACATTATAAAATACATAGTAAATACAAGACCAGGTATTACCTGCATTTCCGTCATTCACTGGGAGTCTTGGGATATACACCTTGTGGATAAAGCGGGAGGTTTTTATATTCTTTAAAAAAAAATTCTTTTGAGTTAATTTCCCTCAGATTGGGTAGCACAATGGATCTGTTGTATTACAAGGATTGAGGACACTGAATTCTGAGCACCTTCAAGCACTTGATATTAATCCTGAATCTGAACAGTTACATTTGTACAGGTCAAGTTATCACTTAATCCTTTTGCAGTGTACGTGGTCTTCATAGACTAAGGAACTTCTTAAGAACTAAATAAGGTGTTACCTAAAACATTGTCGTTTGATGCCTCTATCACCAGTTCCAGAGATGGTGATCCTGTAGATGGTTGAGAACAAGAGTCCAAGGTTAGCCCGTCATCTAGTTGGGAAGCTAGGACCAGAATCCTGTTGTTCCAGTTCATTAATGGACAGTTGTTCCTCTTGATAGTCCCTACATGAAATAATCATCTCCAAAATACCTTCTGGCCTCTCTCAAACCATGTACTCATATTACCCATGGAAACGTCATCCGACCTTTATGACTGATACATGTGAGAATAACTGGGTATGTGCCCTTTGTCCCTGGCTTTCCCCTTTCTAGTGCTTTCCTCCTGTACAAATGCACCACATAACACGAAGCCTCCATGTTTGCATCCTGCT